CCACAAATATATTTCTTATGTTTCTTTTAAAAATTATTAGTTTACACAAAAGTTATGAAAGTGATGAGGAAAAAAATGAAAAATTGTGATTTTAATGGAGATTTTTTATTTTATTTTAGAGAGATGTGATTTTGAACATTTTAACTTGTTATATTTATTAATCAATGATCAAGTATAATTTATCGAAAAAATTACGATTTGAAGATTTATAAATAAAAATTATAATAGGTTATTAAGTTTTAATTAGAAAGTTTCAAATTGTTGATATATTTCGTAATTATAGTTACTAAAATATCAATTTTTAATTTATTATTTTTATTTTGAATTTTAAGTAAATCTTCTCTTTTTGATAAAAAGAAAAATTAATTTTTATTTTTGTAATTATTCAACCATAACTGCCCGCAATCGCAAACGCTAGAGGGTAGCAACTTTTGGATTTGAGAGGTTTGGAGCGACACAGAGCGGTATAAAGCGTTTCATATGATTGTTGTCAAACACTAACAACTGCTACCGCCCACAAACGCAGTGTTTGCGGGTGGTAGCAATTGAACCAATCAACCTGTTAATCCTGTAGAATTGCCTAAGTGTTGTAAACAGCCCCTACAGCTTAGGGTTACAAACATTTAAATAGAAATAAATTAATAAATTTTTAGGTCACAAATAAATGGTAAAAATTTTTTGGGCCACAAATATAAGGAAATATATATGGGTTTGTAAAATACAGTATATTGTTTTTAAGCTAATACAATATAATTTTTTTAATAATATATATTTAAGAGATTTTTTTTTTTTTTTGGGTCACCGTTTTTGTTAGACCGGCTTTGTCAATCAAGCCCATCTCTGGCATGTCTTTGCTATTAATCATTATCCAAATACGTTTTTGGCAACTCATAGAATTTTTGGATATGATACTTTGTTAAACATGTGGGATTTGTGTACGTTAAGGTTTGCAATCATTGCATCAATCATTGCATCCATTGGAAAAGAGTGTACAGATCTTTGGCCAACAACTGCTATTGGAGATTATAAATTTTCTAACAAAACTTGGAATAGTTGAAATTGATTCTTAATGTTTTGGGTGTTTTAGTACATACTGTAGAAAAAAATTTGGGAACTGATAACTTTCATTTATTGGTTATCACTCACAACGAAAATCTGTTTACTAACAAACTTTATTTATCGTGGATTCGTGGGTTGAAAACTAACCAATAACTTAAAGAACCTATATATATACACACTACCGTATTTTTCTCCTCTGTTATATCATAACCAGAAATATTTGACCGTGTTTTGTTATGATTAGTCGATTAAATATAAATACATGCACGACATGCAGGTACGGAAACTTGCTCCACAATGGCAGTTTTTCAGGCAACATACAAATCAACGACAAATGTTTCTACCTGCATTTGCATGACACCATGGATAGACAATTTTATTTTAACTACAAATGTTTCTTCGTATTGCTCCTTAAGCTGTGTGTTTTAGGTTGAGCTACCGACTAAAAACTTTTATGCATATGCTTCCATATTTTTTATCCTTTTTTTTGCCATGTAACCATTCATAGGACTATAATTCCGATTGTAATCTTAAACAATTCATTTCTATGAAATATTTACCATTTAGCAAAAAAAAGA